ACAAAGGGACTCAGATACGGCGTAGGTCCAAGAAATAGGAAATAGCAGTAACAGGGTATTGTGGGAAAATTATGGCAGGCGCAAAAAGTTCACCTAGAACAATCGGCACAATCCGACAGCAACAATGAATAGGTTCGCCCAGGGCGCGTTCAACTCGCAAAATCTCCGCCAAGCCCGGCGCCGTCGGGCGGAGGTAGTCAGAGTCACGCTTTCTTCTTCATCCCACCTGGCGGCCCGTTTGTCTTGTTTGTCTCCTACTCCTACTCACAAACACCCCCCACCTCACCTCGGCTGCTCTCCCCCTGGTCACATTGCACGTGATGTATATTTCACGTGATTAAATAACCGTTGCTGCAAGAAGGGGTACAGCCACAGTGGCTCAGCGAGTGCCGGGGGTTTCAGAGTCCAGAACACCATCGAAGGCCTGGGCCCTCATGGACTCGAAGGAATATCCCTTGTTCAGGGACCGACGGTCTAGAACCTTATCTATCGTGGAGAAAGCTGATGAACACCAGATCGGAAGTGCAGCCTGCTTGGAGGGATCGGGTGGGCAGATCGGTTCGCTGGGTCGTATGATGACGAGGGTGGTGATGATGATGCTCTCCCCTCCGCTCAACTGGTGGGTGGCCACCATTTCGACCTCCGGGGCTAGGGTGGAAAAAGTGGTGGGCGCCTGCAACGTCATATTGCCTTTTTTGCACTCTGTTACTAGACCTGGATATGCTGAACGTTAAATAGTATCTATGTGGTTGGAAATGATGGGAGTTAATAATAGATTTTGAATTTGGCTCTATAGATTCCTACCTCCTGACCCAACAACCCTGCTGTTGAGCATCATATGCTTAGCTAACTATTTGACCCACAGCAAATTGACCTTCCACGTAACAACGGAGACTGGTTACAAAGCGCCCCAACAAGAAGAATAGCAAGTCCATATGACGCGTACAATAGACACTACATGCTGCCAGCCCAAGGTCCTGCTGCCAAAACCAAGGTATCTGGATGCCATACCCCGAGTACCAGTTTTTTCGACTGCATCGGCCATCCAGCCAGTAGAAACGAAAACAACGCAACAGTTTGCCGCAAAATGATTCGCAACCTATGCAAGTAAATAACACGCGCCTCCAACACCGGGATATATCGAGCAACGTCGGGAAAATAACACAGAAGCAGTACAACTCCCTGAGACAACAGTATCGTACGGCTAAGACTTCATCACGAGAAGAACAACGGAAATCGTAAGGTGGAGAGGCGTAGCGGGAGTGAGGTGAGAGATGCGGAAGGCGGGTGTCAAAGGGAATTGGGAAAAGGTCATTGTTCATCTAGTGTAGGGCGAGAAAAGAGGGGAGAGATGGAAGAACCCTCGATCTAGCCCGTTCGCGCAGCTTGCATGGGGTTAACCATTGGCTGCGCTTGATGAGCGTACATGCGCGGCCGTTTGGCCATATTGGGGTTTTCGGTGGCACTCGACATTTCCGAAAGCTGTCGTCGAGGTGGTTGCGGCCTGACGGCCGCAGGCGCCGTAGTAGCAAGGGCCACCGCGGGTGCGGGATACTGAACTCCGTTTTGATCTACGGCATATGCAGCCGCAGCAGGGGCGGCGGGTATATATTGGCCTTGGACTTGCGGAACGTTAGGAGCCACGGCAGTCATGCCTGGAAATTGGCCCGGTGATTGCCAAGCAGTCATCGATGTTGCTGGCGATTGCCCAGGAGAGCTGTCCTCCTTGACTGACTGGGCGGCCGAGCTTTGCGCGGCCATCGTAACGGCTGCTGCCGATTGGGGAGCCTCTATGCCCGGCGGCATCGTTTTTAGGTGAACCAAGTGTTTCTCAAGCATATCAAGAAGGCTCTTTCTTGTGAAGGGCTTTGGAAGGACGTCATCCATTCCTATTAATGCTGTTAGTCACTAACATAGCGACCCAAGAGTGGCTGTGCTAAGGAGCCCAGGGGGTGGCGAACATACCATGCTGGAAGTAGAGCTGGATATCGTCACTGCGAATGTTAGATGTCATGGCGATAATGGGGGTCCTGTCGAATTGGCGAATAAGGTGGCAAGCAGAAACACCATCCAAATTGGGCATGATAATGTCCATGAGAATGAGATCATATTTAGAACCATCCTGGATCTTGTTCACCGCTTCCAGGCCGTCAAACTGAAGCTATGTCAGTCGAGAGATTTCCGAGTCTTTGAAAAAAGTGACATACCGCGGTATCAATCAGGCACGAGAAGGAGTATAGGAATTTGCCACCAATTTGACGGCATGTCGCATCATCCTCCACGAGCAGAATATGGGGGCTGCGCACCCAACCGGGATCGACATTTGCGCTCTTTTTCCGGTTGTCGGGGAATTGCCGTCGAGATTCGTCGATCTCTTGTTTGGGAGGCATGGGATACGGGACGTTGTTGACATGTTCACTGTACATAGGATCGATTCCGTTGGTGGCGCCCACCGGGTAGACGACGGGCTCGATCTCTCCGTTCATCTTGGAATAGACCATAGCAGTATTCGCACTGGCGTCAGCAGCAGAGGGCCGCGCGACACCATTCCGGGGAGCAGTCTCCAGAGCAGGTGTAGGGACCACGGCGGTAGTTTTCGGTGGCTCGCCCATGGACTCTAGGCCCCCTAGATTGAATTGAATCTCTGCGTTCATATCATTCAGGAGCTTCGAGGCATGCTGCAAGGGTGACGAGGGCTCGTCGTCCATGGATGCGCCCTGTGAAGGGCTCAGGGTCGAACCGGCTTGACCCTGGGCTTGGAAAGGCACAGCAGCCGCTTTGCTGTCGCGCCGCTGGCGGGCATCAACGGAGAGCAGGTAAGTCATCACCTGGTGGATAACATTTTCATGGTTAAGGATGGTCTTCTGCACCCTCATAACTTCCTGCATCATCAACTGGTGATCGACGCTGAGTCGTGTGTGTCGCTCATGTAATTGATGAATCTGTTGTTGTTGAGCCACAATTTGCTGGTTCAGCAAATCTATTTGTTGTGTTGGGACCGAGTCTTCGGTGCTCTGGGCCTGTTTGCGCGGAGCCGGGGCCTTCCGTCGGATGTTATCGAGGGATTCTTTGCTGTTCGCTCTGAACTCAGGGTGTTTGAACTCCCAGGCCTGAAGAGCAAGTACAATTAGAACCTATCGCACCGACTGCCACTAAGCGCAGGTTGCTTACATTCTGTCCGTACGGTGACTGTCCGTTTTCCTCGTTGTTCTGTCTCACTTTGTGGAAGTCGTACTTGTTCAGCTGTCGCACGAAACTGGCAAAGTTGCTGTGTTTGAAGTGCTTCGGAAGGATGGTCTTGGTGAATTTTTCGCACTGAATAGATTTCTAGGTCAGCCTCGATGATTGCGACCGCAGGAAAGGCAGACAGGGTGGGAGATGCGAAGAGCGCCATACCTCCAAGACCACAAAACTGTCTCCTTCGTCACCCCACCGCACGATTTCCGCGTACGATGGGTCTTCGAGCATCCTTTGCGATGAGGATTAGCACGCATGATCAATGCCGGGATACTGCAGAACATCGCTGGATTCTACTAGGGCGCAGCGACAACCGGACAGCGAAAGCCTGGGGGGGTTGAGGTTGGAAAACCCGGCGGACGAGAAACCGGAGTGATGAAGCGCAGGCAAGGTACAGAGGAAAAGTAGTAAAAGGGGAACAACTCACTTGTAGAGTTTTCGTACCTAACCATCATGTTAGCAAACTGAAGTATAATCGCATATAAAATAATAGCGGTCATGAGGTTCACGACGGTCGCTATCGAGGGCGACACTTACAAAATCGCTGGAGTTGCCCGCGGGGGCGGTGCTGGTCGAGGTCTGGCCACCGTCCATCGTGGGCTAGATGGGTCGCGACCGATCGAACAAGCAACAGGCTCAACAAGTCGCAAGGCGAGAAACGGGCGGAGGGACGGGAAAGAAGAAAAACCAGCCAGTCGTCAAATTAAATGTCGGGTGGCAAAGGAAAAGGGAAAAGAAGAAGACTGGAGAGAGAGAGAAATAGAATAGTGATCAGACAGGAAAAAGAAGAGGACGAAAGAAAAGAAGAGGAATGGAGGGAAAGAAAGAAAAAGACGAGCGTAAGGTAGTAGTCGTGGTCGAGAGATGGTGGTGGTGAGCCTTAGTGTTAGTGAGGAAGTAGGAGGAATGGGGATTAATTAGTCAATGCCGTTCGGGTTTAGTTCCAGTCCCTCCTTTTGGTGGAGCCTGATATTTTTTTGGGATTTATTATTTTCAGTCTTGGTCTTGTTGCCCTTTTTTTCCTTGAAGAGGGGAAGATGAAAAAGAAATAAGAAGGGGAAAAAGAAAAAGAGAATAAGAAAATACTAATCAAATCAAATATCATTCAATCAAAATAAAATACTAAATCATCAGTCAACGGTCGGTAGTTAGGTTAGGTAGCAGAGAGAGAGAAACACCGAGGGGCTTTTCTTCTCCCCCCTCTCTTGTCTTGTCAGTCTGTCTGTCTGTGTGTCTGTGTGTCTGTCTGCTGCTGCTGCTGCTGCTGCGCTGCTGGCTGAGTTGGGGGTGGATAAGAAAAAGGCAGGCGTGTGGGTAAAGGTGGTTCTGTGATTTGCTTTCCATGGCTCACTCTCATTTGGCAATCAGGTTCACGTTCACCCAGCCCAGCAAAGTTTCTTCTTGTAGTATCTACAGTAGTCAAATGTATGAAGTAGCAGTGGTAGTAGTGGTATTGATTATTATCGACGCATCTCCAATTGCCCCAAGTGGGTTTTCCGGTTTCCCCCCCGAGTACGTGGTCACTAGCCACAACCTCCAACCCACCCGTTGGGTTGTCACTTCTCCGTCCCTTTACCCCTTCCGGTTAATCTTACTTGACTTTCGAGAGATGTGCAATTTCTCTAGTATCTACTTGTCCTCCAAGCATTCTAGCAATTTGAAATTCTCCGTTTGACGGGTATCTTGAGGCTGTTTTTTTATGCAGCACTTGTCTCTAATTCTGGGGGGATGACCTCAACGCAAGGAGATCCATAGGAGGGGTAGAATTCTTAATGCTAAGCCAACGAAACACTAACACTGGGAACTAAATCTTAGAGCCCCCGGGTCTAACTAACTAATAGGGACTGACAACTCAATATCGTTCACCAAGAATTATGCTCCCCTCCTTTTTAACTTTCCCAGCATACATACAAAGTATAAGGCGAAGAAGAAACGGTAGAGAGAGAGAAGAAAAGGAAAACAAAATAAATGGGTAAATGAAGAATTCTGGCCTACGAAGAAAACTAATTAAGTAATAATAAAAATACAGAAAGGGAATATCCATTACCCAAAAACAAACGCACAAGGCACCAAGTAAGGAAGGCAACAAAGCAAGTGTGACTGAGTGATCAGTATCCACCATTTCTTCTGGCGGAACTACCGGTCCAAAGACTGCTGTCAGTGCGCCTGATGGATGCAGAATGATGCACGAAAAGGATGGGGGGGAAGCTATGGAGATAGGCTGCCTCAGGTGGAGGGGCCTTGAATTCTGCGCAGCGATCAACAACCCGAACGGCCGTGTCGTGGTATACGGAGGGAGGGGTGGACGGAAGCAATGACCGTTTTGATGTTTATCTCTCAGCCCATCATCCTTGTTATTTTTTGCCTTCGTTCATTCCTCTCGGACCCCGCGGTAGCCAGCGGGTTTGTACGAGGTGGGGTTCCAGAGAATCAAATCAACTGCATCATTACTTACATACAGTATGTATGTATGCCTTCAGTGCACGACTTTGCTCTGCTGGGCCATCTTTTCCTCTACTACTACAGATGGCTTCCCTTCTCAGGGGGTCCCTCAATTTCGGCAACAGTTGCAGATCCCCTCTCGCGGGTTAGCCGACGATACGAGGATCCAGAGATGATTACAACTAACTAACAGGTCATCAGGTGTAAAAGTATAGAACGAGATGACAAAGAAAGAACAGAGACAGGCCATGAAATAGCCATATTCTAATTCCAGTCTTCTTCATTGAGCCATAAGATGTGATAGAGAGATCGGATGGGCTCTTAATTTAGCACAAGGAGCTATGGAGTAGTATGGATCATGGAGACGCCACCTCCCGAACATCATGTACTAGTTCTAAGGAAGCTGGTACTATTAATATTATGCGAGACAAACTATGTAAGTAAGTGCCCAACTAATTTACTGGTTAATCCGACTCCTGTCTTCTTCTCTCATGCTCATCTTATCACGCTCATCCAGCCAGCCCATGAATAAGATCAAGTATCAGCCAAGGTTCTAGATGGGGGAGGTGCTGCTGAGAGTCCAGACTCAAACCCCCCCGGTCCAAAGCCACTTGAATGCTGCAAACGAACCCTTGCAGTTCAGAGACAGACAATGCAGGGTTGGTGTCCGTCAGTCGGCGGGAACAAAGGCTGTCAGAGATTCTGAGGCAGCGATCGAGACTGGTCCATGAGATCTTGCCGGAGTCGATGTCCGCACGGTATGATTGATTCGATGTCCAACCCCCTCTTCATCGCGGCCTTGTGTCTGGTACTACTTCCCACATGCCGGCCGGGGGAGGCGAATCTGAAGTGATGATATGTAGACATACATAAGTGGGCCCTAAAATATGGCGTTATCGCCCTTTTTCACGTGGATGATTGTTTTGAAACCAGCAAGAGGTCCCGGAATTCTGTTCACAACCGCACTATTGTGTGGCTTTATCTGCAGAGGGCAGTTGGCTGTTTCAATCAACCCATTCGAACATCAAGGATTGTTGAAAAGTCCTAGTATATCTTCCTCTTCCTCCTTAGCAAGTCCCCACGTTCTCCAGTCGACCGTCCGGGCGCTGCAGCCGACAAGCGACCATGACGAAATCATCGCAATGTTTAATGTTCCGACCTCCCGAACGGGAGCAATTTAAATTAATGTTTGTTATTTCTGGAGAAAGCTGAGGAAGCTCCACCAGCTCAGGAACAACAATAATCAACTTCCATCCAGCTCCCACCTTCTTCCTCCCTTCCACCTCCCCATATCGCTCATTTCTCATTTTAACTTCCTGTGGCAACCCCCCCCCTCAAACGGAATATTCAATCTCTCACACCAAACACATTCCTTGTCAAATTATCATCCATTCCTCCCTGTAGCCATCATGTTTGCTGCTCGTCGTCTTACCGCCGGTGTCCCTCGCACCTTGTCCCAGAGGGCCCTTTTCCACAGCACGGCACCCGCTTTTGTTCAGAAGGGAGACGCCATCCCCGACCTTGATGTCCTGGTTGAGAACTCGCCCGGCAACAAGGTGAACCTCGCCAAGGAGCTCAAGGGCAAGGGCGTCATCGTCGGTGTTCCTGCTGCCTTCAGTATGTATTCTTCGTGCCGATATCGTCGGCCCGGCCTAGGATAGGCGTGGTCGCTGTTATTACAGATATCCCCTGGTAATAAATTGCTAACCGTTCCACCTCGGCGGAAATTAGGCCCCGCCTGCTCTGCCACCCACGTTCCTGGGTTCATCAACCACCCCAAGCTGAAGGAGGCCGGTCAGGTCTTCGTTGTTGCAGTCAACGACCCTTTCGTGTAAGTTACGGGTCACGTACGGTGTCATCCGTTAATCGAGCGTATCATGGTTAACCCGACAACAGCACCAAGGCATGGGCTACCTCCCTTGACCCCGAGGGCAAGAGCGGCGTAAGTGATCTTATAACCTGGTTGTACGAGAAAACACCCGGTGCCGTGTACTAACGCTACATGATAGATCCGCTTCTTGGGTGACCCCAGTGGCAAGTTCTCCGAGGCCCTGGATGTGACCTTCGACAGCGCTTCCATCTTTGGAAACAACCGCAGCAAGCGTTACGCCCTGCTTGTCGAGAACGGCAAGGTCAAGGAGGCTTTCGTGGAGCCCGACAACATTGGTCTTGACGGTATGGTCCCAAAAACCAGCATATAAATTGTTTGTTACTAACGGATTATGTAGTCTCTGCGGCCGAGAAGGTCTTGGCCTAAACCAGCCCAGAGAATTAGCATATAAAAAAAATTATATACTTAGGCTCTTCACATGACAATATATCATAATATTTATTGCGATAGAACTCTATTTTCAGAACCACAGCCAGCGAAGCATAAGTCATAACTGGCAGCGCAAAGCCATGATGTCGAATAACCCAACGCCCGACGGCATGCCCTCAAGGGCATGTCAATCCCCAGGATATATCCAGTCCCTAATCCTCTAACCTCCGTCTTCACAACAGAGTTAGCCCTGGTGCAGCGCCTGCCACTGCTCGGGAGTGTAGCACTTGGGCGTCCAGGCGTGGATGGCAGCGATCTCGGCCTTGAGGGCCGAATTCACCAGGCGATGGCGAGCAAGCATGGTCTTCTTCTCGAACTGAGGGGAGACAATGACGGCCTGGAAAGCCTGTCCGCAACCACCTGTAGACAACATTATCGTCAACATCCGGTCTTGGAATCATATAGTTGTAGCATTCATTCCCCCATGGAGATGAAATTAATCAGCAGGCGCTCTCATACCCGACAAGTCTTCGATCTCAACATGCTGCGCCTGCAACTGATCGATCAATTTGGTCTTCAGCGACTCGGCCGTAACGCCCGAAGTATCGGCCATGGCTGCGTTGACTGCCGCAAAGGAGCGCGCGGAAATCGAGAACGGCGATTTGTGATGGACGGGGGTGCGGAGAAGATACCGGCAGCTTCTGCTCAACAGGGTAGTGGTGCGGGAGTACATCAAGCGAGCCGGGCGGCGACTTCGAAGGAGTATAAGGTACTTGAATAGACAAAGGTATTAAATTATATTAAGGTGATGGCGACCGAGAGTCGTTTAAGAGCGATTTGAGTCAGAAGGGTGGGCAGCGCGGTGATGCTTCTTCCGATGTAGGATGACGGAATTCCTTCATGCTGGAATTGATCCTCTTTCTCCTTCCTCCCGTACCGTACCGTAAGAAACGGATTGGTCAGCTGCCGTTGTGGCTGGTGGGTACTAGCCCCAGTCTGGACTAGGGCAGCTGTGGCGCCAGCTTCTCCTCGGCTTCCATCGCTTCTTCTAAAGCTTCATCTGCTTTTACATTCGCGGGGTATTTTCTAGCTCAACTTTTGCGCTGGCCAGCTGACATCCCAGCACTGCACCTGATCACCGCATACCGCAGACTACAACAGCATTGTCTATGAACTCTCTTCGTCGCCAATCCGCCCGCCTATATTCCACAATGTCTGCTTCATACCCCACCTCATCGCCATTTACGCAGGCAGTGGTGAGCTCCATGAGGAAGCTGTATGCTTTCCGTCCACCTACATTGATCAATTGAGTTCCAAAATTGCTAATTCGTTCAATGCAACAGCTACCCCGAGTCATTGGCAGATAAGAGCTGGGACAACACCGGCCGTAAGCTCCCCCATCCCTTTACTACCAGTCTTATACCCCCCATTAACTCTACATCCCAGTCCTTCTCGAAGCCCCCTTCGACCACACCCGCCGACAGAAAAACTCCGTCCTCCTAGCAATTGACCTCACCAAAGCAGTTGCAGACGAAGCAATTGCCCGTCGCGACTCCGTAGTCGTAGCCTACCGTACGCAATGCAACACCTACACACCATCACCGACTAACACAACTAACATATCCAGACCCTATCATCTTCCGCGGCCTCAAATCCATCACCTTCAACGACCCCCAACAATCATCCCTCCTCCGTCTCGCCCAAGAAGGCATCAGCGTCTACTCCCCGCACACAGCCATCGACGCCACCCCCGGCGGCATGGCCGACTGGCTCTGCGACATCGTCACCGGCGCCATCGCCCCAACCACCAGCAGAAAACCCACCATCCAGAAATCCTCCTCAACACACTACTCCCACGCCACCTTCCCCGACCCCCAGCCCGCATCCCCCGCGACTCCCGTCCCCCACGTCCGCAACACAATCATCCCCTCTCCGCCCCCAGTCCCCGAAGGCATGGACTCAGCCGGCATGGGCCGCATCGTCACCTTCGACGAGCCCCAGCCTCTCACTGCCGTCGTGGACCGCATCGCCCAGGGCGTCGGATACCCCGGCGGTATTCCCATCGCTATTCCGCAGACCTCCTCGGTCGAGGACATCAAGATCCGCACTGTGGGTGTATGTCCCGGCTCCGGATCGAGTATTTTGTTGAAGGGCACGGGCGGGAAGATCCCTGATTTGCTTTTCACGGGTGAGTTGAGTCACCATGAGGCGTTGGCGGCGGTGGAGCGTGGGTCGGTTGTGGTTGCGCTGGCGCATTCGAATACGGAGCGTGGGTATCTGCGTGCGGTGATGAGGGAGAAGTTGGCGGGTGCGGTGAAGGAGGAGTGGGAGGCGAAGAGGAAGGAGGGTTTGGAGGGTGGTGCTGCTGGTGCTGCTGGTGCGGAGCTGAAGGAGGTGTTTGAGGATGCGGAGTGCGTAGTGGATGTTAGTGAGAAGGATCGTGATCCGTATGGTATTATGATTCGTCAGGCGTAGATCTAGCCATCTACTTACTCACTACATACATCAACTAAAGA